AAAGCAAATACTAACATAGGAACTGGAATCCCTGGGTGGTGCAAACAGTTAATGAAAGTTTGGAGGTTCAAGTTCACTGAGAGGCACCTCGAAAGAAAGGCCTGGCAATCTATTTCCAAAAAGTCAGTCATTGAAAACCCTATGGAGCACAGTTCTACTCTGACGCACATGGGGTCACCACGAGTAGGAATCAACTCAATGGCAACTGGTAATGTAGAAACTAGGCAGAAAAGCAAAATCGTCAGATTATGGAATTGAGTTCTGAAGAGGAGCTACACCAAAGAGAGAGAAGCCTGAACCTTCTGTAGAAGGAAGGAGCAAACAAGAAGCTTGCCCAGCCTCAGGGGGAGTGTGGCTCCCCACAGTTCCAAGCTTTGGAATTGGCCCCTTTTGAGAGCACTGCTAGGTGTTTTCCAACCCTGTTTGGTTTTCTCCTTATTTGTGTCAGGCTTTTTTTGTGTGTTCAGAAAACCCTGACTGCAGTTATTATATGTAAAATGATGTTAACTGATCTGAGCATATTCCTGACTATCTGAGGGAGGCACCCACAGAGACATGGCGGCTTTCTCCTTTTCTTTCTGTTTAATATCTACTTACTTACATATCTACCCACACGTTAATGTGCCCTTAGTTCTATACAATCAAAAATCTCCAGAGGATTGCCTGATCCTGCTGACCACTGCAGCTAATGACCAAATTGTGTTACTGTATGATTATTCTAGGATGTTGATGGGCAGAGTCAGAAATGTCAGACCAAACCATTCCACGGGCAAGGGTTAAAGTAGGGAAAGGGCAAGTCCAAGCCATTTAGTGAACCTGGTTGCGCAGTGGTTAAGAGCTTGGCTGCTAACGGAAAGGCTGGCTGTTTGAATCCACCAGCCGCTGCTTGGAAACCCTATGGAGCAGTTCTACTCTGTCCTATACGGTCACTATGAGTCAGAATTGACTCCATGCTGACAGGTTTGGTTTGGATAGTAGCTTAGCTAGTGATTCTGAATAAACCACTACTACCCAGAGACTGGAGCCCTGGTGGCGCAGTGGTTAAGAGCTACAGCTGCTAACCAAAAGGTCAGCAGTTCGAATCCCCCAGCTGCTCCTTGGAAACCTTATGGGGCAGTTCTACTCTGTCGTATAGGGTTGCTATGAGTTGGAATCCACTCAACGGCAACCGGTCTTAACCCAGAGATTAGGAGCCCTGGTGGCACAGTGGTTAAAGTCTTTGCTGCTAACCAAAAGGTCGGCGGTTTGGATTCACCAGTTGCTCTGTGGGAGAAAGATGTGGCGGTCTGCTTCCATAAAGATTTATAGCCTTGGAAAAGCTATGGGGCAGTCCTACTCTGTCTTACAAGGCCACGTGAGTCAAAATCGACTCAACAGCAATGAGTATACTCAGAGATTGACCCTAGGACCCAGAGTCCCTGGGTGGTGCACAGTGAACATGCTCAGCTGCTAATCAAAAGGCTGGAGGTTCAAGTCCACACTAAGGCACCATGGAAGATCTACTTCCAAAAAATCAGCCACTGAAAACCCTATGAAGCACAGTTCTACTCTAACATACGTGGCGTCGAAGAATCGACTCTAGCAACTGGTTAATGTCAATGCACTTATCTAAATTAGATAATCTCACATAGCTCTTTTAGCTTAATACAAATTTGTCATTCAACAAGCATTTATTGAGTATCTGTGTGTGGGGTCCACCATTAAACAGAACAAAAATTCCTGTCATAGCAAAGTTTACATTCTAGCAGAAAAGAGGCCCATCTGGATGTCATCTGCCAATCCTTGAGATAGTTATGCATCTTCTATAGGTTTCAACTCTTGGAGGTCATTATCTTGCTTATCTGTTATTTGCATCTCTGGGCCCAAAATGAGTTTGTTTTCAACCCCTTAGGGTTTTGTATGAGCAGGGTCTTTTCATTTCTGGGTCCCAGGTCCAACCCAACCCTCTCCCATATGCACATGCATTGGTTAAATATGGCATTTCCTTCACCACCTCAGCCTGTGTCTTCTAAGGTTCTGGCCACTGGGAATCTCTGACAACCTAGAGAGACTTCCAGGGAAGAGTTTGGGAAACATATGAGTGAGTTTATCCCATTTACTTCCCAAATGAGGAGACTGAGACCCAGAAAAGCGAAGTGACATGCCAATGTCACACAGCTGAACCAGGGGCTTGTTCACTGGCCCCTTCCTCCCAGCCTAGTGCTTTTCCATCGTATCATGAATGGAAGTGGAATCTAGCAGGGCTAAGAGAACCAAAGGTGGCCACAGAACAGAGCTATAGCAGGTTAGAGAGGGCTCACACTTGAGCCCTCTCCAGGGAAGACTGAATATCTTGTCAGATCCGAAATCCACCCTAGGCTAGCAGTTTCAGTATCTTGGTATCACATCTTCTTTAGCACTCCAAAAGGATTAAAGGCATTAGAAACTGGAGTCAGATTTCCTGAAAATTACTGGGCCTATGAAACCAGTGATTTTTTGGAAGTAGATCACCAGGCATTTCTTCCAAGGCACCTCTTGGTGGACCTGAACCTCCAACCTTTCAGTTAGCAGCTGAGTGCATTAACAGTTTGCATCACCCAGAGACTTCACTGGATCTATAAGCCAGGCTATAGTTAAGTTAGAATTAAAAAACTTGTGCTCCATAAACTAATCCATGTACATGTTTTTATAATTGTTTTCTCGGTTTACTAGGATTAGCCAATTTTGAAAGAGTCCAATGTTGTCACAGCTGGGCTGGACTACACTAAGAGGAACGAGAATTTTTCTAGATCTGATTCAGTAATGGAACCAGGAACAACAGCTGCCTGAGTGAACAGGGCTGATGAATGTGGAACAGAGAGAGATGAAACCACAGGAAGCTTGAGTTCACTTACTATCCGAGATTTTTCCCTTAAAAGAACCTTGACGAAATTAAAAACTAAAATAAGAAACCATATGATCCAAGATACCTACACATAATTCATTAGCTTTTAACAGTCCTTACCAACTAATCAATTAGCAGTTAAGTAAGAACATGGGTTTGGTGTCAGAAGACTTAAATTCTTCCTGTACCAGTTTTGTGACTTGGGGCAAGTTCCACAACCTCTCTGAGCGGTGGTCTCTCCACCCATAAAACAGAGGTAATAAAACCTGCCTGATCTTCCTCCTGAGATTGTGCAAATTAAATGAGGGGACAAGTAAACACTTTTTATAAACTGTAAAGCACTCTAAAAATTTAATTATCATTATCAATTAACATTCAACTTGAACACTTTCCTAATAAAACTCATTCTTCAGTTCAGCAACACTATGAACTTGATACTCGGCTTTGGAAGGTTACGTACTACCAAAGTCGATTATTTTAAACTTCAAGGAAACAAACTCCTGCAGGTATAATCAGGTGAATGAAGAGAATTTTTTTTTTTTTAATAAAAGATGCAATTTCTTTCCCTTATCACAGGAAAAGTAAAACAAAATGAGCTACCTACCGGGGTGAGTTTTTTTTAACACACTTTATGGAGCAGATAAGATACTGTTTACTCAATTGCTGAGTGCTAGATCAGAAGAATCTGTATTCTGCTTAGTATCAGTGGCCTATCCCTCAAAAGGGGTCATATTTTTGACAGCTAGGAAAATCTTGTTCCTTCAGGTTGTGTACTTTTACTTTCCACCATAAAAAATGCTTATTACTTGGTCCCAACTTGCACGGAGACCTTCTTTGCTGAGATAGGCAAAGCTTTGCCACTTTTGGTAGCTTTGATCCCACACTGATTCTACGGATTTGGCTGCCCAGACAAGTTTACTGATAGGTAGATATTTATTAATGTGCCCTTGACTGAGGGATACCCTTACAGTGTGGTATTTCTTAAAGCCACATCTGCCAACCTCCAAGGCATAATTAACATTATTTTTAATTTTATTTTTAAAACTGCACCCTGTACAGCACTGCCCTTGGGGTGTTAATAAAGAAAATGAGCACATTATAACAAAACAAAATATTACAGAACAACTAATAGCTTAAACTACTTAAAAATAAGACCCAAACTCCACTGCTGTCAAGTCGATTCCGACTCATAGCAACCCTATAGGACAGAGTAGAACCGCCCCAATTAAAAATGAGAACCCATAAAATAGCCTTATTCCTGGGCCACTGGGAAGGAGCAAAGTCCTTTAGCCACTAAGAGTAGGGCACATTAGAAAGAAGACACTTTTCCTAAGCAATGTAAGAGAAGCAGGAGTTGGTGGAGAGAAGAAGGACTAGTGGAGGATCACAGCAAGCTTTATCAGAGCCCATTATTTCTCCAGCCAGGCCCACAAAAGGTCCCTGAGTTGCAGTAACAGTCCAGTGCTACCATGATTACCATACATAGGTAGGGTCATGTTTGATTTGAGATGTATAGTCCACCTTTAGGAGTTCCTGGGTGGTGCAGATGGTTAACATGTTTGCTGCTAACAGAGAGGTTAATGGTTCAAGTTTACCCAGGGGCTCCTGAGAAGAAAGCCCTGGCAATCTACTTCTGAAAAAAACAGCCACTGAAAACCCTACGGAGCACAGTTCTACTCTGACACACTTGGGGTTGCCATTAGTCAGAATCGACTCGAAGACAACTAGTTTTGTTTTGCTTTTGTTTTTCTAGTCCAACTTTAAACTACTAACTGAAGCCTTCTCTGTTTATCTTTCCTACCAGACTTAACTGATATCACCTTCTCATTTTCCCAAAATTGGAAAACTTCTATATTATAGTAAAACTCAAAATGAATTTATCTATTCCACATGTTCTTGTTGCTGTGAGCTGCTGCTGAGTCGGCCCCCAACTCATGGCAACCCCATGCACAACTTAATGAAATGCTGATTAGTCCTGAGTCATGGGACCTTTGTGATCCACAAGATTTTCATTGGCTGCTTTTCCGAAGTAGATCACCAGGCCTTTCTTCCTAGTCCATCTTAGTCTAGAAGCTCCACTGAAATATCATAGCAACACACAACCCTCCACTGACAGACGGGGTGGCTGCATATGAGGTGCATTGACTGGGAATTGAACCCAGGTCTCCTGCATGCAAGGCAAGAGTTCTACCACTGAACCATCAATGTCCCCCTCTATTCCATATAGGAAATAACATAACACATAACTAAAAATATATATACCCTTCTCCTCACTTATCAATTATCTCGTTAACCAACATTTCACTTTACAAGTAAAATATCTACTATCTGATTATTTTGCCCATTAACAACGTACGTCTGGCAGTAACGAACGCCAAGTTGCGAGGCGAGAGTAACACTGCCTGTGATGGTTGAGGTTATGTGTCAACTTGGCTGGGTCATGATTCTCAGTTGTTTGGCAGTTATGTAATGATGTAGTTTGGCAGTTATACAATGATGTAATTTGGCTGTTATATAATGATGTTGTCATCCTCCATTTTGTGATCTGATGTGGTCATTCTCAGCTTTCACATAACACTGATTTTGTATAATGACCTGGTCTTTGAAACCTAACCAAAGAGGGTGCACACAAATGCGTGCATATATACAAATGTACACACACAAACACACAAGTACACACATACACCCAAACATGTATATCTATGAACTTACAGACCTTTCCACAGATCAGACGACACAGGAAACATAATTACTCTTTTGATCAAAATACAAAGCCAGTTTACTAGGCTTCCTTAAAATAAGAGTGCACTCTAATTTTTCTTTAAGCATCTACAAGGTTTTGCATCGCTATCAAAATATTTTTGGAAATTCTGTAATGTTTCTCCTTTTCCCTTGGCTTCTTATTTCTGGCAAGGCCTAAACCCCAAAATATCTTTCCTCTGGGACACTGAAATAACCATCCTAAAGCAGCTGCCAGAGAGATAGCTACTCAAAGATTTGGGACAGATTTCCAAGGAAGTCCACTTGCAATTTTACTCCTTTGAGTCAAAAGGAGTCAATCTTCTGAGTTGTTCAAGGAACAGCTGTGCGGGTGTTTTTAATCTTCTTGGATTCTCTACTCTTCTTTCTTGATTCTGTTTCACTTCCCTTTCTTCCCTCCGTTTGTCTTTGCCCCACCCCTGCTCTGGGTTTTATTTTAGAAGTAAAGAAAAAAAGCAACCCACCACTCCCCCTCCCCCCAGTGCTTTGAAGTTGTATTTCTCCTCTGCTGAGTTTCAGGACCCCATCCCTCAGGTATGGAGCAAGCTGGATGGCGTGTCTCGTAGTTAGAGAGGAAGAAAGGTCTCCACCAACAAGCACAGCTGCTTGACCGGCCCAAGACAGAGGAGACTTCTTGAAGACAGAGTCGTTGGACCCTGTTACGCACCACATAAGGACTTTTTTACCTCTGTGTTCACGCCCACGCTCCTCATCTTTGTATCAGTGGTTCTCAATCTTGATTGCATCTCAGAATCGCTTGGGAAATGTTAAAAGCCCATGTCAGTTGAACTGAGTCTCTAGGCCTGGGCGTTGCTATTCTGTACCAGCTCCCCAGATGATTCTATTGTGCAGCACGGTTAAAAACCCGCTGATTTTGATTCCGCTCGCTAGTGGAAGTTACCCAATCCTGAGATTACTCCCTTCCTTCCAAATTCACCCCAGGAGATTCCTCTGCCTGTTCTCACACCAAATATTTCTGGGAGTCAGGAAATGAAGGAGTCTTAGGGAACGCAGTTTAGTTTTAGAAGCCGAGAGCCTTGATAAAAGAGTCGGTGCTGAGGCATTGCGGGGGCGGCTGGCGTTTGTGTGTGTTTCCCTCCACTCCCTTCGGGAAGAGGACTGCGTGCAGCTGGTGGACATAAAGCCACCGCCTCTCAGAGGGCCTGATATTCCTAGGACTTGAGATATTTTAAGTGGCCCAATGCTCACTCTTTCTTTCAGCCAAACCCTTGAGAATGGGCTGCTGGGGTGGATTGTTGAGTGTCTTGGAGTCTATTCTGACTCATAGCGACTCTATAGGACAGAGTAGAACTGCCCCATAGGGTTTCCAAGGCTATAATCTTTTTGGGAGCACATTGCCAGGTCTTTTCTCCCGTGAAGCCTCTGGTGGGTTCAAACCACAGATCTTTTGGTTAGCAGCCCAGCGCTTAACCACTGTGCCACCACAGCTTCTTACTGGAAGGGGGGTGGGGGGGAATATGTGCTAGAGACTCTGACGAGAAGAGCACAATTCCAGCCAGCAAAGTACAACTTAAAAATTAAGTAACAGCTATACTGAAAGGGTTAGATTCCAATAACAAATATGATTTTACGTGCAGATCAGAGCTTGAGAGGCATGCAGCTGCTGCTGTGACATGACACAGTATATTACTGCTTATATGAAGTCCCCAGACTGCTGGCCGTGGAAAGGTGCTCCCAAAGCCCCAAGCCACCACAGCCCCTATGGACCCTCCAACTGCTCACCACACAGTTGGGAAAGAGTATGGAGGACCCTCCTTGGAGCCTGGAGCTCAAACGGATTCTGGACACCTCCTTGTTGCTCAGGCAACTGGTGGGCACCATCCAACACTTTGGGGCGGGTGACTCTGCTGGGACAGGGGACTGCCTCTGCTGCTTAGCTTTTGCTCAGAGATTCTTGGCTATTTGCCTGCCTTCCTCTGGCACGTTGTTTACTGCTGATGTTGTGCTCTTGGCTTATTCTGCAGAGAAGTTCTCCCTGCCTAACCCGTCTTTCTTTCTATCTCTCCCCAGATGTTCAGAGTTTATGTGGGTAAGCATTTCTTGCAGCCTGTTAAAGAGACTTTCAAAGTCAGGCCTTCCCCTGCAGTCCTCAGAGTTCATCATATTTAGGGGGTGTGTACAGGGGAGGATGGGAGAGTGTGACTATTTTGCATTCTCTGAGTAGAGTTGCTAGACAGCTCTGGGTTTCCCCTGGCACCGTTCTTTGAATTGTGGGCATCCAAAAATGAAGTCCTTGCTCTCAGAAACAACTGTGAAAAGTATCGGCAGCAAGATTAATGCAGATGTACAAGGTGGGCGCGTTCCAGCTAGGAAGAGTCCGAGGAGCAAGGGTTTTACATTTTCTTACGCAATTAAAACCCTCCCCATTCACACAACCTTGGGGGTTCCAATTTAATGACGTTCCTTTCCTGGAATTTTTTTTCCCCCAAAAGGATTTCAAGTAAAGACAAAATGTGAGTGAGTAATCTCTCTTTCAAATAATGAAGTGCCAGGACTCGTCTTTGTCGTGCCCCTCCCCCACAAACCAGCACATGCCAGCCTGTTCTGGTCACCAATTCTCCTTCCCTGACTCAAGACATCCAGCCCAATGCTCCTGGGGCCGGGGAGGGTCCCTACCTAAAGCATCAGCATAATCTTGGCAAAATGTCCCCTTCCCAACTTTAAGAAAACTTTTGAAAATGAAATGAGTCCATGTCACCTATTGCATTTACACTCTGATCCAACAGGCAGACCAGGACATGTGTGAAATACCCAGAATGTGATGTATTTTTTAACACTTGTCAGAGTGATCGCATACCAAGGAAAAGGAGGAGTAGGAATGCCCTAAAGGCATAGCCACCCATGGGAGGAGACACAGGGAACACCCTGCCTGGAACAGACATTCCTGCTGCAGGGGTTTCTTGCCATTTTCATTTTTAGAAACCAGAAAAACATGAAATGTAAAAAGGGCTCCAGTTCTAACCATCCCATTCAGGCCTGGCCCCAGGCAAAATGAGGAAGTGGGCCAGAAGGGCAAGGCCGGGCTTCCAGCCCTTTCTGCCCCTGTGAAAGTCAAGGACTCAACCAGGGACACCTTACTCCCCAGCCTAGAGTCAGCTGAAGCTGCTCAGGGGCACATGCATTCCAGAAATCTCTGTGTACAGCACAGAGCAGAAAAATCAGAGAAGTATGTCAAGGAGTCAATATAATAATCACCATGATAGTAATAACAAAAATAATCACGGCTACTAGGATTCTTGTCCTAGCTCTGCTACTCACAGGCTTTGTGACCTTGGTCGAGTCATTTAACCTCTCTTTTTCTTCAGCTGTAAAATGGAGATAATTATCTACCCTGCCTTTGTTCCAGGGTTGTTGTAGGAACCAGATGAGATCTTGTGAAAGTTTTCTTGTAAACTATAAAATTAATTTGTAACCTATTTAGAATATTCATTCTTATTAGGACTACTTAACAACAAATAGGTATTCAAAAATAGACACACTTAAATATTATACCTAGTAGACAATATTCTAGTTAAATAGATGGCTAAATACACAGGCTTTTGGCGGATGCATCTGTCATATTGAATTATTCCAGACTGTTGCTAAAACCAAAACCAAACCCACTGCCGTGAAGTCAACTCCAACTCACAGCAATTCTATAAGACAGAGTAGAACTTTCGCCATAGAATTTCCAAGGCTGTAATCTTTACAGAGGACCCTGGTGGCAGAGTGGTTAAGTGTTCAGCTGCTAACCAAAAGGTCAGTAGTTTGAATCCACCAGCTGCTGCTTGGAAACCCTATGGGGCAGTTCTACTCAGTCCTACAGGGTCTATATGAGTCAGAATCAACTCGACTGCAACACGTTTGGCTTTTTTTTTTTTTTTTTTTTAATCTTTACGGAAGCAGACTGCCACGTCTTTCTCCCGAGGAGCAGCTGGTGGGTTCGAACTACCTACCATTCAGTTAGCAGCCTAGTGCTTAACCACTGCACCACCAGGGTTCCTTATGTAAATAACCTCATTGCACCACAAAACCAATCATTAACATGGTATGGCATTTGTTACAGTGGGCTCCTACAGCAATGTGGTCTATTTTGAGGGTCCCTAAGGGGTACTCTGCACAACTCTTAGTGGGTGGAGCAAGTCTTCAACTAGACCACATAAAAATTGTATCTATTCTCATTGAATACAGCTATCTCTGTGATTTGTGAGTACGGTGTTGAATGAATTCAGAAAACATTTCCCTCCAGCTCCAGCTGGCAAAATGTCAAGATTGAAAAGCACATTTCCTGGTTCTCCTTCTTGCCCCGATTGGGATGGATGACCCTAATTCTCACCACCCCATTTCCTCAAGCCATTAGCTGTGATTGAATCTCTGCCCATCCCAATGAGCCTCACACTGACGATTTTAATGCACAGCAGCACCCGTAATAGAGAGAACAATGTTGT